GCCCTGCTGCGCCATTCTTGTAACGAAAACGAGCTGTTGTGTACCCCGCTGAAATAACGACCGTATTACGCTGCGCCTTTTGTACTGCCTGCACTGCTTTTTTCAGTGGCTCTTCCAGCCCATTCGGGGCCCAGTCCTATTATCAAATCCCGTAATCATTTTTCACAGACGGTAGGACTCCTTGGACGGGGGATCAGCCCGTCGCAAGTCCGCTACTTACACACAGGACAACACAAACACAGAATAAACGAATACACACCAAACATCCATGCCTTAAGTGGGATTGGAACCCACGATCCCAGCGTCAGAGCGAGCAAATACAATTCATGCCTCGGACCTCGCGGCTTCTGCGATCCGGCGGCGCCTGTACTATGGTATTGCATAAAGACAGAAGGTTGCTAGATAAGAATCATGGTATTTCTGGGTGCATGCTTTTTCTATGTTGTTATTGTTACTAATACGAAGGTTCTTCAAGTTTCTAAGGACATACGAATTAAATGAGAAGCCATTATAGTAAATGTAACTTATTTCTTACACTGAAGCGTAATTATTTTTCAGCACGATTCCCAGGCACATCGATGCATTTTTCCTATCTTGGTAAAAGTTTTGAACATTTCATGAAATAGAGCTCCTGCATTCGCCGTCGTTCGCCAAGAGCCATTTCCGCTTCGTTATCGTGAAATCGGCGACCTCCCAAGTGTTGCTTCAGAGGCTCAGACAAATGGCAGTCCAATGGGACAAGGTCAAGACCAGTCAAGACTGTAGGGTGGGATGGTCCCAGAAGTTTCCAGCTCGGTTAATACAAACGTTTCAGGCTAGGAACCCTTATTTAACAGCCCTCGTGTTAAGAATGTCAGGTCAGGTAGATGCAGTGGATTGGACGTCATCGAGCATACTGCGCAGATGGTGGTGATTTGCCAACCGCGCTCGGACAAAAAAAGGGAACATCCACAGGCGCGAATCCAAGTAACCGTAATACAAAAGATTTAGTACATGAAGGTAAACGGCATTTCTTATAAAAACATTTTTTTCCAGAGTATTTTTGTGACATTTGTGAAATGATGGCTTCTGCAAACATGCCATGCAAGAAACTGAACAGTAAACATCGCCGAGATTTTCTGTAGACGTATTGTAAACGCAGCATGCCACGGTCAGTGTATCTGGATGGATGTCAACTACTGGGTCCTTGATTCGAGAGAAATTACACCCCAAAATAGGGGCACGATGGGTGGAACTGCAGAATAATAGGTTTCCGGGCCGAGATTTGATACCTAGACCTCACGAATACGCAGAAGGAATGCCAGCTATTCGACCGTGAATTCGGTTTGTCATTGTCGCAATCAAATTCCAGAGAGAACATGTCTGCCGCCTTGTGGAACCAGTCGGACATTTGCCAAGTACGCAGCCGAAGGTACAGTATAGGTTACGAATAAATTTAGAGAAATATTTGATTGAAGATGCGCCTAAATAAGTGGTCATAGAATGCTTTAAGTACGTAAATTAGGATTCAGAAGCCGGTGGGCACATCATTCGATACTGTAATACACTCTACCGCCAAAATGTTGAGAAGCGAAAGAATTCAGTGTCGTCATTCGAGACACGTGTTAAGCAGATTATTTGCACGGTTTGCGGATGCAAGCGACACGAGTCGAAGCATTTCCAGTGCCGCTGATTCAACCATATGAGTAATATAAAACTCCGTGGGAAAGGATCGTTCTGTGGTGAATCGACAATCGATAGAGCTGTGTTACAGCTCCACTTGAATGTGCTGAACTCTGTAAGAAGAATGTGGATAAATTGTATGCTGCATAATTCAGTATAAAATTACAAATTGTTACCTTGAAGAAAACCTCAGAACGAATTTTAAAACGGGGAATGACGTGGATTTGTGTCAGTTTTGAACAAGCATTTCCATCTTTTGTCTTCTCCTGTAGGACGCACGAAGAAGCGTAGAAAAACAGATACCGATGTTTCAAGCAATCCGAACTTTAGTGAGCCCCAATAGCGTAACCAGATTTGACCCCAGATTGGAAAACAAGAAATTCACATACCAGTGGTAGAATGTTTTCTTTTTCCTTAACACGTGTATGCACACCAAGCCTCCTATACAGTTGGTAAGCGGGGGCAAGCAGGCTGAACGTGAAGACGGTTCACACGCACATAGTGTAGACGGCTTGGTATGCGTGGAGCAATACATAAGTGTAGGACCTGTTATACCTATTCAGAGTGTTTTCTTTTATTGCTAGTGGGGTGGGACTAAGTCCCTTGTACTGCGGCCACTTCTGGCCTATTGTACCAGCCCCAGATGATAGGTAAGGGCGATTGTGGAGCAGTTGGCGGAATGAAGATTGGCAGGGGAAACCGAAGTGCTCGGAGAAAACCTGCCCCAGCGCCACTTTTGGCAGGGGAAACCGAAGTGCTCGGAGAAAACCTGCCCCAGCGCCACTTTGCCCACCACAAATCCCACATGATCAGACCTGGGATTGATCCCGGGCCGCCGAGTTGGGAAGCCAGCGACTAACCGCTTGAGCTATGGCGCGTATTCGGAATGTTGCTGCTGCGGAATTCCTGTTCAGAATTACTGGGGATTAGGACTTTGTCCTTCGCCCGGTATTCAAAAAATTAGAGAATACAACGTTGTGTTGTCTGATTTTTTGGAATACCGAACGGTGTACGAAGTCCAGAAACCCAGTGGTTCTGAGTGTTATACACAATCGTCCAGAACCCTTTAGAATCTTCCTGCTGCTGTGTATTAAATTGGCAGGTGATAAAATGCTCCGGAGAACTTTAGGTATAATCAGAACCTTTCTTACATATTCTGGAAGAGAGGGTTTTCATTTTTTGTGGCATATCATGCCGAATGTTCTCACCTGCAACTAGTGCAGAGGTCGAGAAACGCGGATCTATACATCCGCTCCTCCATACGCCTTCATGATGTAGTGCTTAATTAGTTAAGCACAGGGACAACTCTTACATTTTTTTTTTACCTTTACCATGCCGAATATAGATCCGAACTTCGATGCTGTTTTATGACATCGTGTGTGAAATTTGAAGGCAATGTAGCACCTGACGGTTTGCGTGCAGTTTCATGGATGTAGCTTAAGGCGGAAGTGCATGCAAGCAGTCCAACGAAGTTCCTACATAGTGTGAAGTGCTCTCTGTGTTTCGGTTTCGTAAGTTCTCCGTGATCCCTTTTCCAGGGATGTCGAACGAAGTACTGCTAATAAAAATGCCATATGTATTTACAGGAACCGGAATTATTGGCTCTTAACCCTTTGAAGCTAGAGAATCTAAATAGCTCCCACCTCACAGATAGCATAACTACGATCAGTCGGCAAATGCTCTATACGGAAATAATCGCTAATTAAAGAAGAGCTCTGTCTTCTGGGATATAACGCCGTGTAGTTCATTGAAAGTGAGCCGACGGTTCGAAGGAACATGTCTTTTTCATCTTCAGGGTCGAAGAATAAGCTGAGCAAGAAACTAGCGTGAAAGCAGTCGGCTGACTTTAACAGGCTCACGGCTTTATATCCCAGAAGATAACCATAACCACTGCCGTGAGAATCTCAAATAGATGTTTACACCGAGAAACTGACGATATTTGTAAATACACTCAGAGCGCAGAATGCAGAGTATTTTAATGTGAAAGAAAGTTATACTTTCTAGTAACCACCATGTTTTAAATGGTGTAAGAAATATTGCTCGTGTAACTGCTGTATAATCACGACGCTGTTGTGTGTGCGGACTATGGAAGTTTGACGCGAGCGGACTCTGTAGTTAATCTGTGTAACTATTGACCTGCAAAGGGAAGCGCATGCGCATCGATAGAGCATGCTGGAGGGGAAGGGGACCATTAAGGCCGGTAAAGGCGTTCTAGCCAGAAGTTTTTCTCCGTTGGTAGAACTTGGGCGATGGTGGTAGTGGTGGATGGGCGATAAAGAAATTAACGGGAAATACCAGACAGAACGTTGGAAATTTGTTGAAATATTATTATGCATTAAAATTCTGCACATCCGTTGACTTCGTGAGTGGGTAATACGAAGTATAATTTATTACACACCTGTTACCAAAGTAGCGTATTGGAATATCCTTGAAATGCATTAGGTTCAGATATTTATCATTACCTAGATTGAAGTAAATTCAGTGTACGACGTCAGCATTGTTTTCATTCTGACATGTATGTGGCTTTAAGGAAACAATTATTGATGGAATGTTAGCATTTAAGTAGTGCTGTGCCGTGTATTTGCAGTGTAGGGCGTACGTGCCGCATGCGACCTGCGCTATGGTGGTATTTTGAGCGTAGCCGGTTTGTGTAGGGAAGCGATAAATTGTAGACAGAAGAGTTCTTCAAGAAAGTAGGTGGTGTATTATGTCTGGACTGCATATGTAACTTAGTTTGTGTGTCGTGGAGCATATGTTCGTTTCGCATGCATACCTCTTTTTTTTTTAGGTTGAAGACTTAATTCTAGTTGCGACATTTCTTTCGAACGCGCCTTAATCTTGTTTGTACTGTATGAATAATATGCAAATAATACCATTAATGAACAGTGGTGTCTTATCTTTTTTAAATGGTGTACAGATCATGAGTATTATATGAAAGACGCCAGATTTCAAGTAGGCTGGTGTAGTGGTAACGCTCAAGGCTTGAATACAAGGGTCCTTGGTTCGAGTCTCGGCAGTGGCAGAGACTGACCTGATCGAGTTTTTTTGGTTCGTCACAGCCCCACCAGGCAAATGTCGGGTTAATACCTCTGTTGGGCTATGGTCGCTATGCTTAATATTACACCATATACGCAGCGCCGTAAAATAACAGTACAGAATGTGGATTAGGTTCTCTGCGACGTTTATATCGCGAATATTATCCCCTCGAAATAGCCGAATTGACATGATTGCATTGTATTTTGTGTAGCTGCAGCTCATCCCTCCTCACGGTGATAGTCTGGTATTAAAGAAGAACGAGTTAAGTAATTTTCACGCAAGGTGTTCTTTTGTGATTTCAGCATAATATGCGCTGGAACCTTATCAACAGTTTACCTCCTCCTCGTGGTTCTGGTGCTGATGATGAAAGGAAGCGTGTAAATGAACACGACGTTACTCATCAACAGCGATTGATTGCTGAGAGACTACGGCAAGAGAGATACTATCCCCCTGGGGTGAGCCTATTTTTCTTTAAATAGTTTGGGGTGTTGGTGTGACCAGATATTACTCTGCAGGTGTTCCTTATTGCGATTTGAATACAGAATGTGCATGTGTTTGTCAGCGGTGGTATAATTTTTGTTATGTATATGTGTATTTATTAAAGTTTCTCGTGCCACAAGAATTTTCCCCACCTAGATGGTTTATTATTATTAGTGGTGGGCCCATCACTAGGCATGCCTGAAATTTCATGGTGAAGTTGAGCGTAAGTGTGCATGAGGTCACTATTCCTCTATAAAATCAGTTGTTGTTATGTGAGAGCATGTGTGTTGCTTGTTATCGAGCACGACTTTCTCAAATAATTGGACAAGTCCTGAGGGATAGGAAGGCCATGAAAATTTTAGCACATGAAAGGGTGTATAGTACAAGGGAACTGTTTAAAATCAAGCGAAAAATTGCTGGATCCAAAGAATAAAAGAGAAACTAAAAATGCTTCAGCTACCACTGAGCTTACCATTTTTTATTTCTTACTTATTGCTTTAGTTCTCTGCAGTGATTTTTGAATGAACACATGCATCACAGAGCCAAGAAGTTGAGACTTCTTTAAGCATTGAAGAGTTTTATTCTCATTTGTCATTGATGATAATTTGACGAGTCTCTGGAGGCTGCATGATGCAGTGGTAAATAAGGGCCCCTCTTCAAAGCAAAGAAGGACCAGGCGACAGATGCAGTGGTTATATTAAGGGTCAGTAACAAGGCACATCATTTTGTGGCTTGTGGTAATGCCATTCTTGGAGATTTGAAGCATTTGACTATTTGAGCAGGTGTGAAATGTTACTTTGCAAACATTCTTCTGAGGAATAAATTATATGTAGTTCAGTTTTCAAATGAGAACCAAAATACTACCCACATAGTTTCAGTAACTCGTAGGCAGTAAGTAAATGGATAGTTATCAGAGTAATGATTTGAAGTTTCCATTGTCTGGAAGTGAAACAAACTTTATTTTGTGAATTTTGTAGAATTACTTTGCCAACTGTAGAGCCATATTTCACAGTACAATTGGTGATAAGTTTTATCATATTAATTGTAATTTTATTTTTTCTTAGCCAGAAGCTCAGAGTGTCATTCTTTTATTTCTTTGGGCAGTAACCGATTCTTGGGGTACACGTTAGCGTAGTTGGTTGAGACACTGTGCTACAAGATGGAAGGTCACGGGTTCAAATCCCAATGAGGTCATATTCTTAACTGTTCATTGGGGATGTATCAGTGGTTTTGATGGTAACCTTCATACAAGAGGCCATTTGAAAGTTTCCTTGTGCTTGTATGTTGTAGGAAGTTACATTTGGCTAAGAATTCCTCTTATGGAGATCACACCATGTAGTATAGGCCCAGCTTGATTCTCTTCTTATTTTACATTACAGTTGCAATGATAGTTTGTGGTCACTGCATATATTCATCCATTTAACATGTATAAAATGTAAATAATCTTGCTTTTATAATTTCTCCATACATTTATGCAGCTTGGTGGAAGGTATAGTTATGAGGGGGTTCTGGTGCCATGGAAGAGGATTATGCCTTATGTGTGACCTTTGTTTTCAGGATAATTGAATTCTTTAGTTAGTACATGTAACACGCCTTGAAGCTCTCTCTCTCTCTCTCTCTCTCTTGGTCGTTGCAATTACTGAAACCCCAGAGTTCTCACTGGCGTTGACGCGTGTGTGCGCGCGCGCGCTCCCTGTTTGTGTTTGTGTACTCTGCACCAGCTCCCTCTATTAATGACTGTTCCAATCGTGATTATGCCTTTATATTCAACACTGTTAAAAGGGTAACATTAAAACAAACAGCCGAAGGTTTTAACTTCTTTTTTACTTTCGGAAACTTCTGTTTTCCAAGTGTGTCTGTGTGCGTGATGACTAGCTTTAGTTGATTTTCTGTGTGTTAGTGTTTTAGCATTTCATGCAATGGCAAGGGCCAGTCATGGTGACCACACGGTCTAAAGCATGAACTCTCTTGGCCCCCTTGAACTCTGGCATCGTGAGTTCGAATCTCACTCAAGGCCTGTTTTTGTATTGTTTTCTGTGTGTAGGTAGAGGCCTTGCTATGGGCTGATCCCCCATCTAAGGAGTCCTACCGACTGTGAAACTGAAAAGGTGGCTAAGCCCTGATAAAGGGCTATAGAGCCATAATAATAATAACAAAATGTCTACAATGTGCTTAGGAGTTTCTAAGCGTCTGTTGATTCAAGTAAACTAGGAAGAGAACCCTGAGTATTGATACATTTATATGGACAGGTTTTAAATTGCAAGTATTGTCGTAGTGTGAAAGTGTAATACTGTTGAAGCTTTGTTCCTGAAATGCCCATACATGGGCTAAACTTGCTTATTATTGTTTGAAAGATTACTATAGCCTATTTTCTGTGTCTGTTCAGGTGCAGAGGCCACCTAGTGCACCAAAGGTAGAATACCCACCACCTGCCCATTGTCGAATAAGTGGTGGGAAAACATCAGAAAAATCAGCTGGCCATACAGTGCTACCCAAGGCAGAGCCAACTTTTAACCTCTTCGGATATCCAGCATACCATCCTGGAGGGTTACTTCCCCATGACAGTGGCAAAGTAAAGCAGGAACAGTTGAAAGGATCCCCATCATCGGGCTTAACATCTTTAGTGACTACAAAAAGTGCATCAGCTTCAATGGGATTAGATAGGGAAAGAGACGTGATGTTGCCAAACCCACCCCCGCTTATGAGTGATATTAAGAACTCTGTAATTGTTAAAAACGAGGGAAAGAGCCCTCACCACCCCCATGATTCTTCAAAGGTGCCACCATCACATTCCCCGAGTCCAAAATTAAGGGCAGGAGACATGGTGACATCACAGCAGCCTCATTACCTCCCTCCAACTTCGCTGGCTCAGCATAAAGCAGCGTATGAGTATCGAAGCCCTTCTCAGTCCCCACATCCCCTGGCTCCACGGCATACGCCTAGTCCTCATCATGCTCACATAACATTAGAACCACAGAACCTTGCTGGTAAAGGGCTGCAAGTACATCACAGGTCCAGTCAGCAGTCAAGTCCTCACACAATTCCTCACCGCCAGTCACCACATGCAATGCAGCAACAACAGCCACATCCTTCACCTCCAGAACAGAGGTATGGTGGAACTAGTGGACCAAGTTCCCTACCCTATGGTTCTTCTAAGACTGCAACCGTGGGGTCATATCCCTACCCATCCCCTGTGGGGCATGTTACCACAACACATTATCCACTGCCAACAGGTGGAAATGTGACAGCTTCCTCAAAACCCAAAGTGAGTAGTCCAGCTCCGCCACATATCTATGGTAAGCCTGGTATCACGACTGGTACTCCAGTGTGCCGTGCTCAAGATACAAATGTCAACTCTGGTCCTTTACCTTTAACATCTAAGGCTCCTCTCACGTCATCTGTTTCGCCTTCACCATACCAGCAGATATCACCCCATCATCATCCTCCTCCCCCACATCAGGCACCTGTAGGCCTTCCTCCGCCTCCAGCTCACACCAGAGTTGGAGAAAGTAGGGGAATGTTTGACCGAATGTATCCTGGTGGCACAAGTCTTACTGTGAAACCACATTCACAACACCAAGGATCTTCCCCGCCTTCTGCTAGTGCTGCTCCACTCCCAAATCCTCATTCATCCCCGCTACAGATTCCTCATCAGACACCAGGGCACCACCACCTTGGTATGACTCCTGTTTTCCAGACACAGCCACTGGATCTTGGAGTGTCATCTGATCGGGGGAGCAACAGAGATGACTTGGTTGGTTCTCCCAAAAGGAAAGGTGTACCGATTCATCATAATCCAAGTGTTGTGGATCCAAGTAAGAAACGACGGTGTGATCAACAGAATCTTCCTCCACAGCAAGTAATGGCACAGGGGACACTGGCACAGCCATTATTGTCTCGTGTAAGTGAGCCGAGTCCTCTGATTGCCAGTGCTGCCACCCCAATAACTACAGTAGTAAACACTGCTGCATATTGTACTCCTGCAGCAACGACTCTGATGGTCTCTCTCTCACAAGAACCTTTACCAGCAAACACAACAGTTACCACAAGCCCAAACACTATACTAGCAAGAACAGGATCTGGAGATGGCTCTGTCAGGTCCAGCAGTCCAGGGGTTACAGCAATTTTTCCTATAGCAGAAACAGGTGTGGCTCGGCAACAGAATAACAGCCCGGTACCCCTCATGCCACCCACAAATTCTAGCAGCCCAAACTTACCTGTGCAACAACCACCAAATTCCCCTTACACACCAGTGAAACCACACCCTCCACCTAGCAATGTGGATTCAGACAAATCAAACAGCCCTGGTCCTGTTCGACCAACCACAGGCAGTAGTTACCCTGTACATAAACTCAAGAAAGCATGGCTTCAGAGGCACTCGGGAGAGGATGGAACTGAAGACACCACTGGGATTGTGGGTAGTGGCTCATGTGTGACATTGCCTTTAAATCTGGGTACAAATTTATCTGGGACAGGAATAAATAAAGATAATGTTCATAGTGGTGGTAGTAGTAGCAGTAGTGTTTCTTCTCTTCAGACTGTGTTGTCTTGCAAAGGGAAGCCAAGTCCTAACAAAGGAAATAACCGCAAAGGACCTGTGCCAGCAGGTAATAAGGATGGAAGTGGAGTTACATTAAATGGACATGCGACAGATATACCAACTTCCAAACATTCACGTCCTGATGATTCATCAAGTTCAGATCCTGAACATAAGTCTCCTCCTAAGAGGAAGCCACCCAAAGTGAAGCGGAAGAAAGGTGGAGGTGCTGCAAGGAAAGCTGCAGAGGAGAAACGCAAGAAACTGACGCCTGTGGCAGTGCACAGTGAGAGTGGTAGCGACAGTGACAAAGAGAGTCTGAGTGACAAAGATTCAGACAGTGGTGCTAGTACCAACCAGAGTGGAACCAGTGGCAAGAAGTCTGCAAGTGGTGGGGGTGGAAGTAGTGCAGGTGGAGGTGGAGGAAGCAAGGAACCTCGTAAACGAGGACGCAGACCAAAATCATCAAAAAACGATCGAGGTGAGGAGCCGCGGCAGAAGAAGTCTAGGGATGATCCTCCGGCTCCACAGCGTGATCCTTTTCGCAAACCTCCCATAAGCCAGTTGAAGAAGACGGGTGAGAGTTTTCTGCAGGATGGTCCATGTCATGAAGTGGCCCCCAAGCTAGCTAAATGCCGTGAGTGTCGCTGGACACCCAATCAGCGTTCCAAGAACATGCCTAATATATTCTGCCGCTTCTACGCTTTCAGGCGCCTGCGTTACACCAAGAACGGGCAGCTAGCCATTGCAGGGTTCTCGGATCCACACAGGGATGCTGCAGAGGTAGCGCACAAATTTTATGTCCTTTTATTCCATTGCTTTTTGGTAGTTTCTTGTTAGAGTTCTAGAGGTGAGTCTTTGTAGTCTTAATAGATCATTTTGGAATGTTATGATGAGATGTTTTGTTACAGGAAGATTTGAAGCTGTGGCTTCCATTGCCTGACAGTCCACCTGCTGACCTAGACCTTGAAATGTCAAGATTTCTATTAACTCAAGTTGGAGATCAGTTCTGTGATTTACTTGAACAAGAAAAAGAGTCCATAGCTGTTCATATGTCAGAAGGTCTGTTCTGTTGTTGAATAAAATAACCACATTCCTCAAATCTTGGGTGATTACTGCAAACTAATAGATTGTTCAAATTTCAGAAAAAACCATTGCTTGGAAGAGAGTAGTTCAGGGTGTTCGGGAGATGTGTGATGTATGTGAAACCACCCTGTTCAATTTCCACTGGGCATGTAACAAATGTGGGTTTGTTGTCTGCATTGATTGTTACAAGGTAAATTTTATGAGATTTGTTGTAGTGTTAACATGGCTTGGAAGTTTCATATTTTTTTTTTTGTTTTGTATTGATAAGGGTTTGTTTCAGAATATGAGAACTGCATGTATGCAAGGTTTTTAAAATTGTAGTCAAGTCATGGTTGTGAATCCAGAGATTAGAGAATTGAGAGGAAAGTTAATATGCTACTTGACACTAACATATCCTGTAATTGAGATGTCACACCATTTGTATACAGACATACACAAATCATTTGTTTCTCGATGACTTCAGTATTCCTACATTGTTTAAGGTAGATGTCGAAAAACAGCTGATTTATTTGGTGTGATTCTGTGATCTTGGCATGTGGTGAAGTTGTAAGTAATCATCTTGTTTGTTGTGTGAAAATACCGAGGAATGTTTAATAACAGAGAGCTGTAGTTTTAAGACCTTACTACATGCATATCCCCAGCCTGCATATGATGAGACTGTAAACTGACTACACTTGATGTCTTGAAATGAGCTTTTTACCCGTCTGATGCATGGCAAGATAAAATAAATTTGTGTGTTTCTGGGTTGTTAGTAAAGACAATGTTACACTAACATAGATTTAATTGTTTTGCAGTTTATAGATGTTAATGATGAGTTATGTTACATTTGTATAAAGATGGAATGTTTCCTTTCGCTGTAGGGTCGAAAGAATGGCTCGATCAAGATTTGGGGTGAAGCTGGGAAGGACAGAGATGAGTTTTCATGGCTCCTTTGTACAAACAGACAGGCTCATGAGCAGGAGAAATTAATGTTGACCCAGATAATTGCAGGAGATTCTCTTCTCCAGTTGGGAAGGAAAGTGCATGATGTACGAGCGTTGTGTTGCATTCCCCAGTATTGTGGTTGCCCAATGAGCAAAGATATTCCACACAAGTCAACAAATGGCATCTGCAAGGTAATTATCACCCTAGATTATAAACTACAACCACGGTATAATTTGGGTTTCACAGGAGGCCAGGCAGGTACATTATTATGAAAATTGTACTTATTGTCCAGAAAGGTTGCGAAACTTATTTCACTCATCTATATACGCCTCTGTAATGTTTTCTGATCATTGACATTGCTGTGGACGTACAGTTGTTCTTGTGTTTGATTAAGGACCACGCAGTGGAGGTTAATCTTAGCACAAAATGGAGGCAAGTGATTATCTTAATGCCGGAACTGTTTTACCCATTGGGAACAGCATGCTTGTACCATTTGGGTAGGAAGCTGGGTGGGCTGTAGAGATGCTGGCCAAGAGAGGGTATCTCTTTCTGCTGGGAATTGAACCTTGATGCTCCGGAGCATGTCCAATGACTGAGTCTCACTGACTCTCATCATCACTTAGGCGTGGCTATGTAATACTGAGCAACCTGTGCCGGTCTAGAGGGAACTCCTGGGACCGTGCGTCCTGTTCACGTTGAACTCTCCAGAGGTTTGACATCTTTATATAATAAAAATCAGATTACTTCTATATAACCTGATATCTTGGACATTTACAGATATAGTATATGATTATGCCTCTTCAGAATTTTTCTTTATCACCTAACTTTGCTGAAAATTAGTCCAAATTAATATTTGTCATATTTTATACCTATGTGTAGTATTCATTCTGACCTTGAAATTTGTAACATTTATTAGGCCTGTCCACGCATTTAATTTTGAGGCAGCTTGAACTATTTGTGCAGTAGTGGATTAAGACAGCTTGATTGCTGGGTACAGGATAAACCATGGCCAGAACTAGGGAGAGCCCACAGTAAACTGTAAATGTTCTTTAGGTGCTGTGTGTAATAGAGGTATTAACCCTTGATTATCCTTCCAGTTAAGTTCAGTACTGTTTTACCACCAGTTACTGAAAGTATACTTGGTATGGGGTAGCCTTTAAACCTTTGAGACAACTCTTTGAGTTTGAAGCATATATATTTGAAGAGGGGGATGCTACTTTTATCTGTAAATTTGTTGTGTTGAAAATGCAGTTAACTCAACTCCTGTTCTTGTTCTGAGCCTGCCTTACAAGGTTTCTATCTGAGGATGAGAAGTTCTCTTGAACATCCCAGCTTAATTAACACTTTGATTTCTTGTAATTTTGTTTTTCAAAATAAACCACCAAATGGTAGTAGGTAAGCATATGTCTTACTACATGCTTACATTTAAATGAGCTTTGATTTTTTGTGTCTGTTTTGGTCAGGATTTGTTGAAAGTCTTCAAGAATGAGCCCCTGAATGGCATAATTAAACAGGAAAAGAAAGAAAAGGATTCTGAGGGATCAGACAAGGAGAAGAAGAATGGGGCAACAAATGGAGCTGTTGTGAAGCAGGAAGACCAGGATTCCCCCCTTAACTGGTTGGCTGATGTTGCTCTGTCCAGTGAGGACAAAAAACCATGTGAGGTAATTGAAATTGAGAAACCTTGTAGGGTGGGCAAAGACAAGCATGGGAAGCATGGGTATAACACATTGTACAAGGACTGTCCCAGAGTCATTTAATGTAGTCATTGATGGGGCAGCATGGCTCATCAAAGAAAAATATCCTGATTGAAAATGTAGAAGATGGATTGGATTAGTGTTCTCTTTGAATATGTATTCATTTGTGTTTAACGCTGTTCTCGTTTCATCCACACAGTATCAGAGTAATTTTACATTTTTCTCACAGTGATACATATTTGATCAAAGTTGTAAAGACTCCTCGTTGGCATATTTATTTCCTGTTGGAACTTGAAGTGTCCCCGGGGCTGCTGGTGTTGTAGGATAAGGTGCCTTAGCATACATATTTGTAGGGTTGTATGGTTTTTAGGGGTTTTGGTCTGCTGCTGATTATGCAAGAGTTGCAGCAGGCAAATGAAAATTCACATATTGGAAACTCCTTATGTCAGTATCCATCTGTTGAATAGAATTTTCCAAGAATACAGCAGGGTACAATCAGCAACATGTATCATATGCAGTGGCTTTCAGGATTTAGCTGTGTTGTATATTTTAGATTTTTAGCGTTTCATCGTACATTACGTTTACCATCTTCAGAATTCATGAAGCACAAAGAGTAAGTACATGGCTGTGCAGTGGGCGTAAGAGTGGTGAGGTGAGGTGTGCTATCAAGTGAGCTAAGAAGAAGGGCTGTTGGAAAATAGTGAAGCCAGACTACCCAGTTCATATCCGTCTTATGTTTGAAGTTGTGGAGGTGTTGGACTCTATTGATAGCTTTCCTGATGATGGGATGGTGTTGTATGTTCACAGTGGCCTGTTTTATAAAATTTGTTGGTTGTCACCTGTAACATCAGATTTGATAAAAGGGCAGCCTAGAAAACATCCATGTAAACAGGTGAACCATTGGAGAAGTTACTGGAAAAAATTCCCCCAGAACTTAAAACTGTGAAGATCAATATAACCTGGCTGAAGACTGGCTTAACCTACTGTTCTTCATAACCATGTGATGTCTTAATTGAATAGTATCACACACCTACCCTTATTGCAACTGTGAAACCTATGTTGGTCCACTTTTCCTTCCACCTCATCACATCACAGGTAATGACCATGCTCAAAATGTTTGGCTCCCCTGAGTGTTGGTATATGGCCTGATCAGTACTGCCTAACTTATTCAGTTTTAGATCTTTGGAAGAACAGTAGCTTGAATTAGGAAGTGGGCTGCTTCGCCAATGAATGTGGTTTTGTTAGGCGTATTTGATGTTTACAGATGTGTAAAGTGGTAAGATGTTGCTGAATCTTCCGGATCAGAAAAGTATAATCCCCAAACAATAAGAAAGCAGAACTGGAATTTAAGTGTACTAGATTGAAATTGTTATGCTACACATTGCTGCACTGAAGTGGTTTGCAGGTGATTCTTTTGGTGCTTGGCTTACTGTGGCATATTTGTAAAGAACACCTGTACAACTCTTGAGTACTTCCATAACATTGCGACTCATAAAATTGTGGTCTGAAGCCTATGTGGAATATGAAGCCTTGTGATCCTAGCTTCTTGGTTTCCTTCTAGTAATCTCTGTGGTTACATGCAAGATTTTGACCAGAAGGAACTGTAGCAGCATTACAACTATAGTGGTTTTGGTAGCAGTCGCTGTGTAACTTCAATATTACAATGCATCATTCATGGAGTTGACAGTTAAATAGTAATTAAAGGTTCTGCCTGCATCAATTTCTGGTGCTCATTTAACTGCATCATTGGCAACTTAGCTTTTACTTTACAGTACATAAGAAAGAAAATGTCAGAAAGTGGAGTCAGAGGTTCACTTGAAAATACCCAAAGAATAATGCCCAGCACAGTTGTTTATTAAAGATGTCAGAGGCTGGTTATCATAGATTGAGCTTATGACAAAAAGAAACAGACTCAGAGAAGTTAGGTCATGTGGTCTTGCCCATACTATCTTCTTGTGGAGCTTATGCTTGTTCTTCTGTATGTCACCCAAGATGATGTTTATTATGAAATGATCTGTAACAGTTTTTTTAACTATTATAAGGACTATATTTATCACAAAATATTTCCATTTTAGTACAGTTTTAATTTTTATGTTTGTATCTCTAGTCTCTTATTTTTTTAAATTTTATTATCTGAGTATTTTAAAATTTTAATTGATAGGCTCAATTTATGCATTTAAAAACATTCAGGTGCACAATAAGGATCCTGATTGAAGAATTAGATGCAATTCAACAACTGTGGCTGGTATAATTGTATGCCTAGTGATGACCCAGTATAAGGGTCGAAACATGCAGCATCAGTAAAACAAATGTTGATACAGTAGTGTCTACATTGTTTTAAATACAGAATATTGTTGTGTGGGCTGCATACTTTTGTATACATTTTATGTACCGTGTTTATAACACACAACAGGATGCATACTACTGTTGTAAAAGGAGAATAAAATTGACACCTGACTCAATTTTTTTTACTGTTAGCTGGTCATTTTGTGTAAATTTAAATATGTAATGTACATGTGTCTTGAAGGACTCTGGTGGCAGCAGCAGTGACTCAGATGAGGATAAGGATGGGAACTACTCAACACTTAGGGAGCTCTTGATCCGTCCTTCACACAAGCCCAATGGTAGTGGGAGCCGATCAGCTTCTCCAGCCAACAACTCGACCAGTTCATTATCTGGTGGCCTTAACAACTGTAACAATGTTAGTAGTAATGCTAATAACAATATGAACAGCAGTGGTGGTAACAATAGCAGCAGCAACAGTGGTGCAGCTTCAAATGCAAGTTCTTCTGTCACATCAGCAACTTCTATAGCCACAGTTAAGGGCACAAAGAAATCAAGATTGGACACTCTTGATGAGGTCATTTCAAGTGTTATTGAGCACAGTGTTCAGAAGGAGGATCATCATGGCAGCTCTGTGTCTGTTGAAGGGAAGGCTCCAATAGAACTCAAGCATTTTGTACGACGTTACAACTGGGCGCAAAAGGGTCGGGAACCGTTACCTATCCGTATCATGACACTCACAGAAAGCAAGATTCTGTATTCAGATGTTCCTCATTCGTGGCTCTGTGATGGCAAACTGCTGAGACTGACTGATCCCAATTGTGAAGGAAATTACCGCATATTCCAGGTATGAAGGGTTGCTTCTAGGTTTGGTCTCTGTTGGGATTTCTTGCCTCATGTCTTTATAGACAGGACTGTAGAATCTATTTCTTGGGTGGGGGTACCTCATAGACTCTATTGTGTTCCCCTCCCCCAAGAGATGACGACAGTCGTGAGAGAGTGGGCTCCAATCCAGGAGGAGGCTAGTATTACTCTTAGCCAAAGTATTGGCTGATGCATTTCAGTCCGTGTGCAGAAACTTCCACACACTGTGAACACACCGAATGAGAGTNATTGGCTGATGCATTTCAGTCCGTGTGCAGAAACTTCCACACACTGAATGAGAGTCCAGTTGTTAGCCCTCAAAACACCACACTTCCCTTGCAAAAATGTAGTTAGGAAAGGATTTTCCAGTATATATACAGCAGTGAAAACTTTGATTCAGTGAAACATTTTGTAGCATGTTGCTAGGTCAGATTATTTCGATTATATATCACAGGAAATTGTAAGTTAATTTATGAAATGCTGTCAGGTAATAATGTTAACCATTGAACATAGATTAAGAATGGGCTGAACTGTAATCATCTTCAGTAGAAGTGAGTGTTACTGCTCCATCTCAGCTGAACAACTATAACCTTCATCTTTAAAGCTAGCATATGTGTGTGCGTGAAGGAGGAGCAAGACAAGGTTCAGGGAGTAATTTGATAGGAATCGTTTATAATGCTGATATTGATCATTCTTTGGATACAAGAATATAGTTTATGTTATGGTCACATTTATGTGGCCATCTACATGTTTTAATTTAGGCCCACCATACAGATATTGATGAAAATTGATGCATACGAGTATGTATACCATTAGAGGTCTCTCAAACTTAGTAGCTTTTTAAGGGTTCTGTCTTCTGGGATATGACACCATTTAGTACGTTGACGTTTCAGAGAAAAATCACCTCCATGTTCAATATCAGATAAACCGAGCAAGATACCAGCATGGAAGCAAGTTGCAAGCCGAAACATCAGTTGATTTTCAAAAGACTGCACAGTGTTATATCCCAGAAACTCCCCATTACCACTGCTGTGAAAATCTCATATTCTGCTTAATAGCTTTTAATTTTGTACAGTTAAAAATGGTGGATGTATGAAGTTATGAGTGGGACCAGTACTAATGACATGGCTCAGATGCATCTCAGTTGAAATCATGGTAACAGTAGTACCCATAGCAAAGATCCATGTTAGCATTTCATACACTTTGCCCATTTTCTGTTGTATACTCAAAGCAAGGCCACAAAAATGCATACTATATTTGCCTTTTCTGTCCTTTGCATGTAAGACTGAATTATCGTGAAATGTATGACTAATAGCTGGGAGTTACAGTATAATTTGTTGACCTGTTGCAGTTTTGGTAAAAATTGACACTTTCAGGGGAGTTGATCATAACTTGCTAAATACTTAGGAAGTGAAATATTCTTAAGGCAGAAGTTGTAGAGGAAATGAAAGATGTTTAATGCCCAGTACATTTTTTTAGTTCCTTGACACATTACAATTGTGTTGATATCAGACACTAGTAGCCGACACTTTTCTTGAAGATCTACATCTGATTGTGTTCACATTTTGATTCTGCACTTGGGACATTTGAAAGTGATTTTGTGTTCAAGAGGAATAAAATTATAGAATATAGAAAATAGGAGAAACTAGCTTTATGGGTAGCTTATGACTTTACCTACTGCCAAATGTAATTAGAATGATTGAGTTGAGGATAAGACGAGTGGGGCATGTATCAGGCATGGGGGAGAATTTGAATCTATACTGTATACAGGGTTTTGAGGGAAAGTCAGAAAGAATACCTAGATGTAGGTGGGAGGATATTATTAAAATGGATCGTAGACAGATGGAATGGGGTGGTACAGACTGGATTTAAATTCGGGATAGGGAACAGTGGAGGAATTGAAGATAGATGCCTTGGCAAGAGCAAGTAATGCAAAAGAAGTTTAGGGGTCAGAAATTTAAAACACTTGTCACTGAGAATCCATTACCTGAAACCTATTTGTTAACTAACATTCACTTTCTGATCCCCCCCCCAGACGTTCACACGCGCACTATTTGAGGGTGTTAACATAATTTTCTGGTACCATTAATGACACATTGAAGGTAGAGGCCATTGAATAGAAGTATTAAAATAAATATCATTTTAGTGGTAACATTTTTGAGAATTTACTGTGCAGGATCAGTGGAAACGTGGCCAGCCTGTGATAGTATCTGATGTAACAAAACATCTGGACATGAGCCTTTGGCATCCAGATTCATTCGCACGTGATTTTGGTGAGGACAAAAACGACTTGATCAACTGTATGACTGGTAACTTGGTGCCAAATCAGCCAATGCGGAAGTTTTGGGAAGGATTTGAACACTTTTCTCGTCGTCTGAAGGATGACAGAGGGAACCCAATGCTGCTCAAACTGAAGGACTGGCCACCAGGTGAGGAATCTGCGGTTCAGAATTTTACACATATGAAGCTTGGCATTTGTCTTTGTACTATCCTCTTATGAAGAGAAGGTAACACTTCACCATGTCACATCCACATGTACTGTGAAAGCTGAAAATATTGCCATGACTTTCTGGTGACTTCCCATTACCCTTGACACTCTGAAGCTTAAAGTGTTTGAAATTGGTTAATTAGTCAAGGTTGACTATTTTGGCTTATCACTTACCTCTCCTTTTTTTGGGGGTGGGATAGCAGTGATTGGTTGTTCGATGGCAGTAATGATTCAATGTTGATAGAGAACATCTCAAGCAATGTGCAGGAAAATTTCCCAGCTGGACCTGGATATGTTAGCTAAACTGTAATATGTAATTGCCTGTTATATAAAACACTTGCATTGAAGTAGCTTATATGTGAATGGTACATGCGTAATCCTGCGTATTTTCTGTGCTGCATCATATCTTTCTGCGAACTAAAAATGAGGTAATAATTACCCTTTGTGACACACTGTTGCATGAATATAAACAATACTTTTTAAATAGAGTAATTATAATAATTTATAAATATTCTAACAAACTCATGCACATTATAGTAATTGTTACAGAATATTTTATATCTGTGACATTGTAATAGTAATTTCTGCAAGTATGTAATAGTAGTTTCCGTATGTATTGACAATGCCCTTCTGAAGATGGTTCCTAGGACCAAAACATGTAAATGATGAAAGTTAAAAAAACATTTATCAATCACACTGGAGGGCATAAATAATCTTTATGCTGTTGTATACAATATTATGATTTGTTCTATATTACTGAAACAGTTATGCTTATTGTGTATGTATACATTAAGCAAGAATGAATTGAATCAACAAAGCAGCATGGTCATCATTTGTATATTGATACCACAGTTCATTCTAAAAAGAAACCAAAATTTTGTCACTCGAAAAGAGAACAGATTTTAAGAATATAAATATAGATTGTACTATTAATCATTTCCAACTCAATATCACTACCTTCATTTCATTGTGAATGTGATGAGGATGGCAGTGATATCGAAACTGAATGATCCTTTATGTTACAGTGACGGAGGTATTGTTACAGATGATTGCATTCTTGCTGTTGAAGTTAGTTGCAGTGTGAGTGACTGCTCATATCGCTGAAGTTTCTCGCTGAACTTCCTGTGAATTTCACAGAATGTGCCACACCTGCACAGACTCTGTCTAATGCTAATGCAATCTCATGTTTGATCATGTTTTTATATCCACCCTTCTGGTGAAAGAAATCAACAGATATGCCCAACACTTTCAGTCAGATCATTAGCTGTCACCAGTGAAAATAAAATACAGACAATTTCAGATGTCCTTATTACTGTATTTCAAGGTGAAGATTTTGCGGAGATGCTGCCATCTCGGTTTAGTGACCTGATGCGCGTGTTGCCTTTAGCAGAATATACTCATCGGACAGGGCGTCTGAATCTTGCAAGTCGCCTTCCAGAATGTTTTGTGCGTCCTGATCTTGGACCTAAGATGTACAATGCCTATGGCTCTGCCCTGTACCCTACAAAGGGCACAACAAATTTGCATCTTGATATATCAGATGCAGTGAATGTCATGGTTTATGTGGGGATCCCAAAAGATGGAGATAACGATGAACATATCAAAGGTATGGTATTTCAGGAATACATATTTTGCGGATTGTCAGCTATAAGAGCAGTATGATGCCTCAAATTTATGACCATTAAATGAAGTTATATTAAGCAACAGTGTCCAAGATTGCTTGTGTTCCATTGCATGGGCATTTTTTTAAAGGATATGCTAGCTTTCAACTTACAGATCCAAAATTTGGGTTTATTGTAACCATTAAACTCTTCTTTTGGTCGGAGACATTTGCAGGGAGACCAATATACACAAGAAGCACTACAGCATTGTTTAGATTTATATTTTTTCCATTCTAGCTCCCTTCTGTGTTTAAGTTTGATCACCCTTTCATTGTTTCCAGCATGGTAATACTTAACAGAATAGAGAACTGAGAAGGGTTGAAAGAAGCATCATTATCCTTGTACAAGGTGTCCAGGTGGAAGGCATCCAAAATAAGAAATATATATCTCTGAAACTAATTGTCATATATGTATCCAGTTTTATGTCGCCGGAAAGTAAAAGTTTTTTTTTCATGCCTGGCTTACACACACATGCCAGCCAGCTGAACCTTCGGCAAACTCAGTAATGATGTTGACACCACAAGGACAGGTTCAGTGCGTGTTGTGGCTAGCAGAGGTGCAATCCCTTAACAGCTGTCCAGCATTGTTTTAGAATGCAATTTGGACATCAACCTCCTACACGGAAAGGCATTCGGTTCTGGAACGACAAACTGAAGGCTACAGGTATTCTGTTGCATATAAAATCTGGAAAGACACAGACCTCTGAAGAAAATGTCAATTCCATTAGAGAGGCATTCCAGGGAAGTTTGTGCTGCTAGCTTGGAGTTTTGTACAAATTGCACGTTCAGCAGTGCACAGTGTTGCTGCGCAGAAGGCTTAGACAATTTATGCTCTAAAATCGATTGACCAAGTAATATGAACAATCTTTGCCATGGACATGCTAGAAAGAATTGAGGTGTTACCTGATTTCCTCCACAAAGTGTTTTTCTTGGATGAGAAGATGTTCCATGTCAATGGGGTTGTAAACTGAAGGATTTGGGGGTGGTCAAAATCCACATCACATTTGAATTGGAGGGAGGCTGCCCCAAAGCGAACGTGTAGGCTGGCTTAGTGCACGGCAAGTTGATTGGACTGTTTTCTTTAAGGAAAAGATTGTGATATTATATTTAAGCATCCTGTTACACTCACACAATATATATGAGACAAATTCCGTCTTAAGTGTAACAATTTAATTGTAGTGAAGAAAAAACTACAATTAAATTCTTACACTTAAGACGGAATTTGTCTCATATAAAAAGATTGTGATTAGACGTTTGTACTTGGATATGCTGGAGCTGTATGCGCTGCCCCAGTTACCAACTCGAACTATCCTCCAACAAGAGGGGCCACCACCACATTTCTGCCACCATGTTAGGAATCACTTGGACAGAGAGATGGATTGGCAGAGGTAGACTGGTTGCTTGCCGTTCTAGGTCACCAGATTTAACCTCATTGGATTTTTTTCTTGTGGAGTTATGTGAAGAACATTGTCTACCAGGTTAAGATCAATGACCTGCATAAGGGATACTGTGGCTACAGTAACACCACACATGCTTTAAGCAACATGGAACNGAACTATCCTCCAACAAGAGGGGCCACCACCACATTTCTGCCACCATGTTAGGAATCACTTGGACAGAGAGATGGATTGGCAGAGGTAGACTGGTTGCTTGCCGTTCTAGGTCACCAGATTTAACCTCATTGGATTTTTTTCTTGTGGAGTTATGTGAAGAACATTGTCTACCAGGTTAAGATCAATGACCTGCAACACATGAAGACCTGCATAAGGGATACTGTGGCTACAGTAACACCAAACATGCTTTAAGCAACATGGAAGAAGGTTGAATGTTGTCTGGATATTTGTCGTGCCAACAAGGGAGCCCAAATTTAAATTTATTGAGAAAATTATATGTTCAGAAAAGAACTTTGATAGTTTCCCTTTGTGATGGTGTAACCCATCAGTGTGTATAATAAATGCTTTCTGAGATATAATTATTTGGATACCTTTCGTCAGGACATCCTGTATTTTATTGATGACAAGCGGCAGTCACTCTGTATTAATTCGCTTAGTGGGGGTTGGAGTCCAGCTGGGTCCACTCGGCAACATGACCACTGACTGANTTGTCTGGATATTTGTCGTGCCAACAAGGGAGCCCAAATTTAAATTTATTGAGAAAATTATATGTTCAGAAAAGAACTTTGATAGTTTCCCTTTGTGATGGTGTAACCCATCAGTGTGTATAATAAATGCTTTCTGGGATATAATTACCCACCCCAGTGCCACTTTGTCCACCACAAATCCCACTTGACCAGACCCATGATCGAACCCGGGCTGCCACAGTAGGAAGCCAGCGACTAACCGCCTGAACACTCGGTCGGTATAGTTTGCTTGCAGACTAGAACCATGGACTTTGTTTTGTAGTGGGGTGTGGGTGTTGGTGGGGGTGGGGGTTATAGTCACCATAACCACACTGACCTCTGAGAAATGAGGTTCCCACATCAGCAGAAGACACAGTAGCTGAGTCCTCTGGTCCCCACTTGCACCTCCAGTGCTAGGGAAAATGCTGCTGCTTCCTCCAGGATACTAACAACAGGACGACTGTAATCCACCATTGTGGTGCTAGGATCTGACACAGCTCCTTGAGAGCATTCCTGTTCTTGGCCACTTCTAGCCAGTCCAGTTTTTCTTCTTCATTATATTGTGTATGCAAGGAAGCCTTTATTAGAGCCCAAAAGAGATTGTGGTTGCTGCAGAAAAAAAATCTGGTCCTCCCTTCATAGAGTTTGACTACCTTGCGATGGGATGTTGATAGGTATCCCAAGTGTGCCATTCACCACACAGCTCACTTACTGTTAGGGCAGGTTATTCTTAGTGAGACCGAGTCCACTTGGTACTGCAGCCACTACTGGCATGTTTGTGAAGCAGTTGGTGGAATGAAGACTGGCAGGGGAAAGTGAAGTATTCAGAGAAAACCTGCCCCAGCGTCACAAATCTCACATGACCAGACCCAGGCCATCATGGCAGGACGCCAGCAACTGTAGCATGGCCCCTAGCTCACAGCTTATGCTAAGGCACCACCGCACTCCAAGGCCACCCTGTCTGTCCCCAAATAGGCCTATGACTCCCAAGGAGAGATGGGTAGGGTGGCCTGGCCGCAGTCATTACACATATGAAGTACAGAGCTTGTATTACATTTTCTTTAATCTGCTTTTGTATCAGCAGTATCAAGAGGGGAGAAATTTCTTGTTGGTGAGGTTAGATGGTCATTTGGAAGTTTCATGATACATTACCTTTAATAATTATACTGTAATTATGCTCTAAGGATGATGGGTTGTGTGTGTACAGCTTTCATAGTGGAGTTCCAAATTTTAGTACTCGTAAATGGCTATTAATGATGAAAGGATCACATCTGTACTGTTGTTTTCACACACCAGTATACTTAATATCAGTTATACCTGCTTGATATAGACAAAGGAAACCAGAATATATGTTGCAGTAATCAGCGACTGTTTATGCAGTACAACCAGGCTTGTTGGTTCCAACAGTAATGCTTTTAAGTTGTATTGATGAAGTACCCAGATCGAATCTCAGCTGGGATGCAGCAGTCCTGACTGAAGTTTTTCATGCAAATGCTGGAAAAGTACCATGAATTAGACCATAACTGCTTCATTCCACATCTTTGCATAATCCTTATTTATTTACTTTTTTGCCGTGTAGAGTAATTGACGACAGTGTAAATTTGTGTGAAAGTGTGTTTGAAAGTTCACTTTTTTAGGCCTGCTGGAATTGTTACTGAAAGTACAACATTACTAACTGTACAGTCCTTCATAAGTGCTTTGGCTCCAATTTTCCTAAATCACAACTTGTTCAATGAAAATTTTCATGTAATGTGTAGGGCATATGGATTTGAAGTTGTATGATGGGAATTTTTACTAACCTGTGTAGCAGTTAGAACTCACAAATGTCTTACATAAGAAGGGTCATACTATAGTTATGGATATATTTTCCAGAAGCATTTCGTGCAATCGATGAAGCAGGATGTGATATCTTAACGAGGCGACGGGTACGTGAGAAAGGAGAACTGCCTGGTGCACTTTGGCATATTTATAATGCCCGGGATGCTGACAAGATTCGTGATCTGCTAAACAAAGTAGCAATTGAAAGAGGGGCCAGGTTGGAACCCCACCATGACCCTATCCATGATCAGAGCTGGTATCTTGATGGTCCTCTTCGAGAAAGGTTATACAAAGAATATGGTGTGGAGGGATATGCCATTGTCCAGTGTTTGGGTGACTCAGTTTTCATTCCTGCAGGAGCACCACATCAGGTGAGTCACTTATTTTCACTATTGCAGGCCATAATGCACTGAGGCAATTAATATGGTTGTTTTCAGCTTTTTGTTCTTAGGAGCATGGACATGGAAAGCTAGTATGTAAAATTTTTAAATTAGCTTAGTGGGGAGTGGAGTCCAACTGGGTCCACTTGGCATGGTGGCCACTGATTGTAGCCTGCCCCTGGTGATTACAATGATGGAGAATTTGGTGGAATGAAGATTGGCAGGGGAAACCAAAGTGCTTGGAGAATACCTGCCCCAGCTCCAGTTTGTCCACAAATCTCACTTGACCAGACACAGGATCGAACCCGGGCCGCTGCAGTGGGAAGCCAGCGACTAACCACTTGAGCTGTGGCGGGGCCTAAGTATGTATGTCTTACAGGTTCTGGTAGACGAGTTTCTGTGAACATGTATTGAACCTTTTGTTTCTGGAAGGTGAAAGAAGACATGGGCTGAGTGCACATAAATTTATCATGGAAATTTCCATTTGTTTTTGTGTTATGTATATAATATTGCCACGTGACAGATAACTTCACGTGGGTCTCGGATTTAGCGAATGGACACATACCTTACAATTATTACCACTTGCAGTATCACTTGACTTCTGGCCCAGTACTCCGATGCGACGTCTCAGCTATCCTTAGCCGTGGTTGGATCCCACCTCTGGTGGCGGCTATCCCAAGATTCTCTCGTTCTCAATGCTCTAATATTCAATACTCTGTACGTGTCATAAGCTCTGCTTATATAGGGGTTAGGCGGACTGCATACCAGACACCATTCCTCACGGTTCCATTACTGCTGTTCAGACAGACCGTTGTTATGGGAACGTTTCTTATAGAATACACTGATAACGTGTTTCGTCTCATCCGTTGTTACTCAACGACAATTCCTTGCTACGAATTTGTCGCTGCGGGAACTCCACAATTTCTACGTATTCGTTGTCGTGGAAGTGTCTGTTCTGATTGTAGCAGTTGTGGTCGTGATGGACGTAAGGTAACACATCACAATATTGTACAAGGAAAGGCAGTGCAGTGTTGTTGTATATCTGCTTTGAATGGGCACTGTTAGCAGTAGACTCTTTATGTGCACTAAGTGAGAAATGTAAAATCACAAAGAATGCATTTGGAAACTTTACATATCCAGAACTGTGTGATATATATACCTTCTTATTACTAAAGCCTGATTATGAAGATTTTTGTTACAGTTGTTACTAGTGTGAGTGGGTTGTAGTGTGGGTGTGGGGGGGGGGGCAGCTGCAGCCTGTGCACCAAGTGTGGCCTTTGAATGAATGCATGCTGGCCTTTCCATTTGTTGCAATACAGGGGTTCTAGGATGCATATTTCTAACAAGTGTACTGTATTCGCAACTGGTTATGAGACAGTTGAGTGAGGCCCATTCCACATTTGAGTCAGGCCCAAATTATTAAAGAACCAGTCAGTTTGAGTTACTGTAAATAAGATCTAAAAGTTTGTGATGATGGTACATTAGTACAAATATTGTGTTTCTGGACATTATCCATGTCCTGTCTTTATCAAAAAATACAATCCTGTTTATTTTTCAAAACAGGATTGTATTTTATGTCTTCATCTTCAGGTAAACTACTTGGTTGGGCCTCTATTGATAGAGCTAGTCTTTATCTCTGGGCCCACATGAAGATGGAGACAGAATCCAGTTTCTGAAACATGTTTTGAAATATAAACAGTTGGGTATATGGGATATATCCTTATTCTAAAATCATGTCAGGGAGGTAAAATCCCTGTGTGAGGCTGTGGAGGCCCATAGAGTTATGAAACGTTGAAACTACCACATGTTCTAGACAGTTGGCTCACAGATGGTAGTGAGGTCAGCCTTATGTGCCAACCACCTTTGCATTTTCTGTTAAGAATCTTCCTGGAGTAAAGGGCAGCTGGTGCGTAAGTTAGTGAGATTTGTAAAGAGAACAAAAATAAATGCAATTGATAGTGGTATGTCAGGTTTTGAGTCATAACATTGAAGGTTGACTCTCTAACCGATGATTGTTACACTGAGAACAGTACATTGTTGGTAATGCAGCTTGTGTATGGATGTGATTTTTGATTTTGTGATGGATCACAAATGCAGTACCTGCATCTCCAACTTGTTTAAAATCTTAAAGGAGGCAAGGGCATATACTTTGATTTTATATGTAGGAGCTAATTTTTTAAGAGAAATAATTCCATTTGGAAACTTTTCAGTGAAGACCAATGAGTGAGTGATGGAAATTCATAGGTTCTGTAATCCAAACCAAAGTACCATTCCGGTGTCTCGTGTTACTCAGATTTGTTTGTTATTATTTCACTGTAAATACTTTCCCATTTTTGTTGCAGGTACGCAATTTACATAACTGTATAAAAGTGGCTGAAGACTTTGTTTCTCCAGAGAATGTTTCACATTGTTTCCATCTAACGCAAGAGTTCCGAGAGCTTTCAGACACACATTCCAACCACGAGGACAAATTGCAGATCAAGAACATCATATATCATGCAGTGAAGGATTCCTTGTCGGTCCTTACCAAGATGGCTGGAGGCAGTGAAGAGTTTCTAGCAAGTTTAGTTTCGGGACCAGCAGCAGATATTGGAACAAACAATTTAAGTCCGGTTTGTGGAGAGCCACCGCCTCCTAATGGGAGCAATGAGGATGATGAAGATGGCAACAGCAGTAGTCACAGTAATGTAGAAATAAAGGTGGAACCTGTTACATGAGTAGCACAAGGAACCAGAAAATGTACAAAGTGAAAGAATTCATGTGGTGTCAAAGAGTACAATTTTGTGAAAGCTCATTGTTGGAATGTACTTGGAGACAAATGGAAGTTGTGATAATACAAGCTACTGTACCTATCACATGGCTGTTCTGCCATGGAGGAATCTTTGGATGTGTCATTATGTTACAGTCTAACAAATCCCTTTTTACCTCTTGGAATTTCTTCCAGCAGTGGCTAGTGTGAAGCAAGATGTGTAGTTCCTGATTAATTCCTATGATACAGTGTAGGGTTTTCAGACCATGAGTGGTGTCTTCAAGGCTTATTGTTATGTGTGTCCTTGAAATTGGCACAGTGAAGAAATAAAGATATTTTGAAGGTTGGTTGATGTTAGGGCTGGGGAGGAAGGGACTTGTCAGAGTATGTAAATGAGAAAAAAATACTGAAGAAAATAACATATAGACACACATGCCATTTGGAGGCTACGAGCAATACAAGGGTCAGGTATGTGTACAGAGGGCTGGCCAACCTGTGATCACATGTCCTATTAATGCATGGGATTCACGTTGTATTGCATGTTTCTCATTTCCTTGTGGCAGAGTACTTGCAGATTTTGTAGTGATTTGGAGAGTGGAAGAAATGAGGTTCTGATCTCGCTATGCCTACGTTTCCATGTGCAGTACAGTGCAATCCCTTACTTCTGTACGTAGTGATTGTCGTATGTATTGTAAGAAAGGCAGTTCGTGCCTCGGATTAATCTTAAGTGTCCACGTAATGGGCGATGTTCTTCATTGATTTTATGACTATTATACATGTTAAAAGTGAAAACTTGGTGTAACTTAGATCATACAAGTGTTGAGCTTCTGCGTGTAGCTTTGATAATTTTGAAGAGTAAGCTTAGACTGGCGATGTTGCCATCCTCCCCCCCGCAGCATGCAGGTGGCACATTCTTTGTACTATTCTGTCCGTTTTTCACTTTTCAGAGAATTAAATTTCTAGGTGGGACATTATATATAAATGCTGTTTAAAAGTGCCAATGTGTGTGTGAGAGTGAAAGTTGGTATGCTAGACAACCAGTATATAGTGCCACCTTAAGAAGGTGGGGGTTTGTTTTCTTTTGCCCCCTCTCTTTTTTCTTTTGCCCCCCTTTCTTTGGAAAGCTTAGAATTCAGTTGAAATTATAGTGAAAGCTTTCTATTTAACCAAAGCCATCAGGAACTGAAGTTTGAAGTTCCTATGTATGTATTAGTATTACAGTGACCTTGGTTCTGAATTTGGGTGGTGGAATTGCGCAGTTTCCTTGATCTCAATTCTTGTGTCAAGCATACAACGATTTGCAAGTGATTTAGTGTAATACAATGTCCATAACCTCTCCTCACATCGCATGGAGGGGTGCCTACGTACTGTGCATTTGGGCCTTTGTTGATTGTGGTGTCAAAAGTACCAGTATTTTACGATTCTGAGGTGATATCTTTGTTCCAGTTCATCCCTGTATATTATTACATAGTCATCTTACTCGTTTCCATCTGTGACTCCAGTTTCCAGTGTTTCTGTCCCATGTGTGAATCTTAAGAATTCTCAATTTCATTGAGAACTTGTAATTTATTCTACTTTATTGGAGGGGACAAGGAACAATTTACTGTTAGTGTTGTACAGTTCAATAGTGTTAACGTTTCTGCTGTTGTGGAATTAGTTCACAAATTGGTTACTAGAGGCCATGACTGGCCCAGTCTTTGTACAGTACAGTTGTATTGATGTTTCTGTAACCCAATGGGGTCGAGTAAATTTTTTGTACTGTGTAAATGTAAGGAGATAACAGTTTAAATAAGAAAATGTTTATATTATGGAAGCGAGAGTATTTTCTTTTGTGGTGATATTTGGATGACTTTCCAGGACCATTCAGTAAAGGAATTTTTAGAATAGGCGTATATTGCTCCCTGGCACTATTGGGGATACTTTACGAAGAACAAGATTACTTGTGTCTGTGTGTGTGAGGAATATTAATTTCACCTCTCTTGAAGTCCCAGAGATCATATTGCATACAGGTTACTCTCATAAGTACAGTTTGCTGGGATAACTCACTACTGTGAGAAGGTGTGGGCTAAGTGATTGCTCTTCAGTCTCTGGTAGGAAAAAGGACTTCTGCCATTGCCACCACATCCACTCCAGCTCTTGAGTGAGCTCATCTTCCTATACAGTAGGTACCAGGGGCCCTTTTTGCGGGTGTAAAGCAGTCTGAGTATGAAGTTCACCTCTTGATTGTGTATAGTACCAAGGTTAAAGATGCCCCATGCATCATCATAGGGGATACTCACGCATAGGGGCAGCTTCACCATTTACCTGTGCTGCATTCCAATATATTGAGGATGCTGACTTGGAGTTTCCCATCTTCCTCCAATTTATCGTCTTCCCTACTAACCACTAAACAAAAGGTTGCAGACAAAATGAAGCCAAGCTCATCTTATTGGACTTCTAAGTCTGTTGCCTGGTTCAGTTTTGTGCTGTGTTTGGGGGTAATTGTTAGCGGGAATGTTAGGATCTGTTTTGACTGTTCTAAGGGCTACGGTACCGTACTGAACGCAAGGTAATTTGCATGCGTGCGTTCCAGAGTTCTTTGCAACAGAATGTCATTGAAAGTGCAGAAGTTTGTTATTTTGTCTGTCAGGCATGCATTACATAAGTTACACTCGTGTAAATTTTGGGTGTTTGGTTAATTCAGTTTGCTGGTGGTGGTTGAGACAACCGCTTTGTACCACAGATTTTTTTCAGAAAGATTCACTTGTGAGATTTGAGGTTCTTGAGCAGTGACTTGATGAAGTCTCCAAGGATGTTGCGCCATGTATCATAATAGATTGCTACTGTTTAGGGAGAATATGCTGCTTCCATTCTCAGGATAGATGGTAGAACTATCAGTTGAATTTTGGCCCTGTTGTTTCTTTTGTATTTTTAATGGTAGATTTTAAATTGTGTAATATCAGATGTTTGAGTATTTACATAGTTGAAGGTACAGTAAGGTGCGTGTTCACTGTTGTTTATAGGAGCAATTAAGGTTTCATTAATAAATATTGTAGCATGTAGAGCCATTGCTGGGTAACGACCTTGAAACATTCGTGGCTGTGCAACAGGTTATTAATGAGCAAGTATATGCAGCTGTTACTGGGTAATGCCTTCATAAACAAATGTGTTCCCATGGAAATTGAGCACAACAATGAATGGTGTTTTCTAAGTAGTCCATGGTGAGATGTTATAACTGAGACAAGTTTAGAAATTGGTCATTTGTAAGGGAGTCTGTGAATAGACTTGGTGCAGTTGGAGAATCTGCAGTTTTAAGATCCTCTAGTGGGATATGACTAGTGAAAGCAGACTGAAAAGGCTTAGGGCATGCAGCGATTTTTAAGTGTGGAAATAAGGGTTGGCGCTATAATTGAGTGTAGTCACGAATTGTGTGTTTTAGTGGTCAGTAAATCCAATCCAAAACCCCATCAAGAGTTATAGAGGTGACAATATATATAGTAGTAAAAGTTTATAACATAGTTGTCAACATAAAGAGTCCTGTGCATTTTATTTGGGTTTTATGTTGTGACTTTGTCCACATTTTGATGGACAGATGTCTTGACACCATGCACATGCTTTTCCAGTTTTCCCACAAGCTGACACTACACATTTATTTTGCTGGTACTGTCCCAGTGTTTGTTGCCACTGATGGCAGCATTCATTTGCCTACCTAATTGCCTCTGTGGATGCAGTTCACTGTGCACAGGTGAAATTGCCTGTGAAGTTCTTGGACCACAGCAAGAAGAGAGAAGACATAAATAGCACTGCAGATCATGGGATCTAACAGGCAAGAAAACAGTTTTGTCCACTTCCATATACAAGGACTAATCAAAGTTTAGTGGGTAATGTACTTATGTATTGGGGAGGTTCTGGTTTCAAAAAGCAAGCCTGGCTACTCCCCACCAGTCCTTGAAGAAGAAGAAGAATACCACTTTTTTTTGCAGTATTTTCAGTTCATTATTCACTAATTATTTACCATTTTATGCTATATAATTTGGGTTCCTGCCTGGATAAGTAACTTTATTTATAAGGTCACTGGAAAATGCAGAGGAACTAAAATTTACACACACACACAGTAACATTACCATTCTGCTATGTGCACATGATCTCAGTCATATCTGTGTTCAAGAGGAAACGTTACGACCTAGACTGTGTAATGTGCCAATGAGGACTCCCAACCAAGAGTTGCTGGTACTAATATCCCAGGAAAATAATGAAATTTTGTTTGCCTAGTAACATGATACCAGTATAGGTTTTCAACAAGGCCATTGTCCTTTTGAAGCATATTGAGATAAAATTTCAAATTACTGGACAACACATACTTCTTAGACAACTTGTATGTGGTATATTAGAGTGCCCTGAAAAAAGTTTGGAACAGAGCAAAGATATTTTTAAATGTGATCTCAGGATTCAGATTAACCCAAATGTATCCCTTTAATCACTGGGCCATTCAAGAGTCCAAGTTTGCCCCTTCAAACATCACACAGATTAAGGTGAATACAGACTCCATTAAACAGTGATTCTTTCCCTGAAGAATGTTCCAGTATGATAAAGATGAGACTGTAGATGAATCATATAAATGAATCCTCAAGTGTAACAAATTTAAGCAAACATCACTGAACTTTCACAGCCGTTCTGTTGATCCTAAGGCAAGAGAAGAATACAACAACGAAACTATGCAAAGCTCTGTACTTGCTTGCCCCATGTGTTGTGAGATCATTGTTTCATAGACATCTGAAAATTCAGCAGCTGTGGTATCTCATGAAAGTACGAAGTGAAAATCTCAAAATCCAAAGTTGATGAAAATAAACCTTGGAAGAAGGGAAGTAGAAGACAGAAAGCGGTAGGAATTGATTACAGTCAACTTTCAACTAGTGGACAGAAAAAAAAATTGTTTTGTGCCATTTGTCAAGAGGACAGATTTGCTGATATGAGAATGTGTTGGGCTTACGCAGATGATGAACCTTTTGTATGTCCACGCTATAGAGATGAGATATTCATGCAATAACTTATTTCTTCAATTCCCCTCTCTGCTTCAAAACCAAATTCCAATAATTTATATAACTGTAACTTCAAAAGTCATCCACTTGACCCACATGGCCTTAGCTGATTGTTACATGTCTTATGTTATCTGGCCTCATTTAAGCAATTTATAACTCCCCAAATCATAACATATTAGGCAAATAATGCTATACTTACTGAAAAGTAGTAGATATAGCTCCCTAATTTCAGTATATTGCAAAGCAGAGAAGTAAATTGAAGTACATATATACACAGCTGTAATGCCACCTGTCACTGAAAACACAGTATGACCTAACAGTTACTGCTGTAGGANCCCCCCCCCCCCCACGACTTTTGCTTGTACTCAGTTCTGTTAGAGCTAACTCGACCCCAGGGCCATATTGCGACTGGGAGGATTAGGTAAATTGAAAAAAATCAACGATCTCCACGGGGGTGGAAGCCGCGACCTTCCGGTTTGTAGCATAGTACCTCAACTACGGTACCGCGTATCCCCATTTATGAGGATGTAGGTCAGACAAAAAAGGATTCTGCATTTGTGAAGTGATTAATAGTTTGTACACTGTAAACACTACATATTGCGGCGGAAGAAGATGCAAAGAAGTTAATGGGCGTAAGGAACCGGAAGAGAGTATCGTAGGATAGAGAGGAATGGAGGGGCTTGATAAGGGAGGCCAAGGCCCGACATCGGGATGTTGCGCTATAGCAGAAGAAGAAGAAGCACTACATATAGTAGTTCTCTGTTACATTAATGAAATTGGGAGGCACGCAGTAGCGTAGTTGGTTGAGGCACTCTGCTACAAGCCGGAAGGTCACGGGTTCGAGTCTCGACGAGATGATGTTTTTGAGTTGACCTAATCCTTCCAGCCTCATTATGGCCCTGGGGTCGACTCAGCCTCCAACAGAAATGAGTACCAGCAATCTTACTGGGGGGTAAGGAGCGGCTGGTGCTTAAGACCGACAGTCTAACCGCCATCTGTGAGCCGATTGTCTAGAGAAAATGTGGAAGCCTCGACGTCTCACAACCCTATGGGCCTCCATGGCCTGTTACAGGGATAGCTTTACCTTTACCTTTAGTAGGATCATTTCATACGATAAGCACGTTGTCCATAGATAATTCACTGGGTTACAAATATCTCTAAGAAGAAAATTACGCAAGATAGAAAGAAACTGTTGGTTTTATTGGGAAGTTTTGTACAACTGTAGACAGAAATTTCCACACGAGCTCCGTCCTTAGGACTTAAAATCCAAATGATATTCTCACGGACTTCATTCAGACTTGTAATTTTCGTTGCGAAAGACTTGATCTTTTCAAGGAAGGAATTGATCCAACCAATCGACCCAGAGAAGTTTTGGAGAGAGATTCTCCCACTGGAATGGCCAAAGAGGAGAAGCCGCTGGAAGATAAGATTCTGCCGACGGTGTTTCATTTGTTCTGCATATTTCTCGAGCATGTCCAGGTAGTTCGCGCTTCGGATAATTGTGTCCTGAAAGTGGAAGGGACCAATCACTGGCGGGCCGCATGAACCCTGCGTGACGTAAGTTTGAAGCTCTGGAAAAAGTAAAATGGCATTGTACTTTCTTAAGCGCCAAACGTGGAAGTGTAGCTATCTCGTTTTTAACTTGTGCATTAGGTGAATGTGAGTGGCCAGCTTCACGGCCTGGCACTTTAGCCCTGAGAAAAGAGCCATTGATATCTATTAGATTGGAGTGTGGTTGGGCCCCGGGGCCGGCCTGGACGCTGTGGAGAAGAGAAATCTCTTGACTTTGCTGGGA